ACTGTTTTTACAGTATTTTTGATCAAATAACTTAAACCTTAGTAAGCATAAGAGACTTCATTAAAAACCTTATCCCAGACTTTGAATGCTATTGCACCAAACCAAATGGTAAATGCAAGCAACTGAAGTCAAACCCTTTTTATTTTAACATTTGTGAATTATTTTTTAAATTAAGTTTAACCACCTGGTCTCCAGCCGAATTTAGTGGATGTTAGTCAGTTCACACAGGTGTCCTAGCTGAGTAACTATAGGTGTACATCAGCACATTAACCATGAACATGTTCCACTTACAGAAGATAACCAGAAGGTGTCTAATCATTTTTGACCAGTTTATATTTCTGTTATTTAAAATTTAATAAACTAGTTCTTTTGGTTTTGCTTGCACAATGTCCTTGTGCTATCTTTCATGAAAATGAATGTCACAGAGTTTAAAAAGCATACATGACTAAAGGGTTAGTTCACCCCAAAATGACAAAAAAAAACTATAATAACATAATTTATTCAGCAATTCTTCTCCCTGAGTTACCATCTTCCACCATTTTGTACCCCAGAACGTAATCAACATAATCAGCATTGTTTACGTTCAGTAGCCAGCGCGTGCATGCTGAACGTAAACAAAGCTGATTACGTTCTGGGGTACTCTCCAAAATGGCGGAAGACATGTCCATGCTACGTTTCTGTGCATTGATCGTGGTAATATCCTTGCTGTCTATGTCATTAATCTTTCTCCATTTCGCTTTCTAAAAGCATTTCTACAAACACAATTAATAAAGAATAAGAAACAAAAGGGCAATACGGACAAGAACTAGAAAACACCGATGCATTAAAATCCTGCAAAGAAGACACAGTGTCTACAAATCATATTTGGACAGTTAAGCCACAATTGTTGGTTTGATATTATTACCAATGCAATAAAATGTATACATTTCAAGTTCAAATACTTTTTCGTGTAACTGTCCACTAGAAAATGACCAAATCTGTTAATTAGATAGACTTATTTCACTGTGAAATAAGAAGTAATGAAGGTAGAAGATTTTTGCCACTTACCAAATCACAACCATATGTGATTATTTATTGGCCTTTATTCAGTCTGTTTAAGATTTTAGTCTGTAATGTGCAATTCATGCAAGTTTGTCTCTGTTAGGATATTGTGTAATATTGACAAGCGATGACAGTCCAAATGTGCAAGATTATTTACACTGACTGCTGTGAGACTTGCAAACTGAAAGCAATAAACGAACTATGTGCAATGCCAGCAGCAGTGTCAGTCTCATTAAAATCTCCTCACATGACACATTTTACTGGGCTGCAAACTACTCTGGAAAATAAATGTATTATTATTTTTTTTTTTTTATAAAATCCTGAAAGTGCATTATAAAAACAGTTACACATAAAAATAAGCGGTTTTAATTATATGCTTCAACCTTTCATTTTAAAAAAAATTCTCTATTGGGATGTATGCAAATCCTGTGACTTTTTTGTCTTACCGTATACTAGAAAGTATTTATTTACTAAATAAAATGCCTTAGCCTGTAATCGCACATGGCTGTCATTGGTTCATCATGACCAATGCTGATGAAAGCAACAGGAAAAATATGACAGCATCATTATGAGTGCATCTATATGGAGAAGAACTATCATTCACCATGCATATGGGAGAGTATATGAAATAGTAGAATCATTATGCGTTTCTATGACAATCTGTTGTTAAATTCTGTTTGGCATTAACAGACTTCAGCTTATTTGTGACCCTGGACCACAAAACCAGTCTTAAGTCGCTGGGCTATATTTGTAGCAATAGCCAAATACATTGTATGGGTCAAAATTATTGATTTTTCTCTTATGAGACACACCCATCGGTCTAAGCAGCGCTGCTTCAAGTCGAGCGCGGGCCATCAGCAGAAAAAGAAAAGAAATAAAACAGATGAAGCAGGAAAACTGCTCTCACAAGGAAAAGACTTTGGCTGATGTCAATTGAAGACAGAGTTTTGATTTACACATGAATGTCCCCCACTCAGCTCAAATGTTCCTTTACCTTGAGAAGTTTAATAAAAGTTACCCTCAAGGGCTTTTCTGTCCCTTCCTGTGGTAAGCCCTTAAAAGCATGTTGTGAAATTTACAGGAATCCCATACACCCCCAACCAATTAGCCAGACTGAAGGCTCTGTCTGCTGATGAATACATGGGCATAGGCCATCGAGGAGTGACCATCAGTATGTTAATTTATTCATTTCTAAATTTTACATAACAATTAGTAGGCTTCTTTCGCATGCATACCAGGGCTCTTATTTACTTTTCACAGAGAGACTGCTAAAGGAGGGGTGATGAGAGAACAGAAAGAGAAGGTTCGGATGGAGGGGTGTCTATTTTGATCACCCCTCTTCGCTGTATTAATAGAGACATCTCCTTGTTTATGTAACACACCATCACACACTGAAAACTGACTGATTTTTGTGCACGCAAATGAACCAACTCATTAAACTCCAATTATTATGTTCAATTAAGAAAATCCAAAGTTTATGAATGCTATTATGATTTATGATCTTGTACTTTCCTCAGAACAGTAGATAGATAGATAGATAGATAGATAGATAGAACACCTGAATGACCTACGCTTCTCACTCTCTCTGCTTCTCACTTGCACAGCCTCTAAAACGCCACCAGATGACATTGGCGGCTAGAGGACAATCAAGTGTATTGAAAAGATGAGAAAGCGCTACGTCACTGAAAATGGTGAGGAGCATATGGTCTTGTGCTGGGCAAGTTAAAACGCACGAGACGGGGCCGGCAATAAATCACCTCCAAATCTGCAATATCCTTTTTTTCTGTGATGCAGGCTGCATTCAATCGCTATAGAAAATACAAACTTTGAAAATGCATGGGTAATTTGTCATTTATTATAGAATTGATGCATGCATCGCCACGGTCGAGGCTCAACCATGTGGTTATTCTACTACGTGGCGAACTTCTAGATGCGCAGCGTTCTGCTCGCCACAACGCACAGTGTGCACAGCTTCGTCAGCACATTACAGCATGTGAGATTTAGAGTCTCCTTCGCACTATACCTGTATTACAATACAACCCTCTCGGAGAAGCATAGCCAAATAAGAAAAGCCAATTTGAAATCCGCCGTGCTGCGTAAATGATTAAATGCATTAGTTCTGACAGCGATGCATCCTATGTTTGTTTACTAGATCAGCACATGCCTGTGGAAGAGCAGCTACGTCTCAACTTCCCAACTCACACAGCGAAACGTCTTCTCTGCCTTTTTTCTTGTCGGAGGAGCAGACACTGCTTCGATAGGATGGTGAAAGGAGGGGTTCCTTACCTTGCAGTATGCATCCTCCCCCGGGCTGGTCGGCAGGGTAAAAATCTGTTATTTTCCGCCGCTAAACCTTATTAAACATCCCTCAGCGTCAGCGTCACTGTGCTGCAGCCAAGGCAACCAACTCTCGCGATGTATGGCGTCTCAGGTGTCGAGTCGACAGAGTGTGACAAGGAGACTGGGCCGTAGGCTGGGATGGTAGTAAATACAGGGGTTCATAAGTACGAATGGGAATCGTGAATTTTTGAACGACCTCCTTACGGATTCCATTAACAACTTTAGGCCTCAGCAGTATGTTGCCAAAATTATGAACACATGAACGGATATAGGCTAACATTTCAGAAAAAAAGCAACGCTTTTATATTTGCAGACTCTGGGACTTTTCACAGACATTCTATGCAATATAATAAGCGTACAAGGGGCCCATAATACCAAGTGATGCCACAAAATGACACACTTTTTTTTTTATCCTACTATTATACTAAAGATTTCAGACATATTTCATTCAAGTTAATTTATTTTATTAAAATAAAACAAAAGTTCTTTGTCATTTCGAGTCAGACATGACAAAATAACAAATAAGTAGCCTACATGTTCAGTAGATTTGAGTCACATTAATTCAGTTACTGCTCCAACTGATATATTGAATTTATTTCATTTTTTTAATTATTATTTTATATATTTATTTTAATGGTTTAAAGAGAACTGGTTCATGCAAGTCATTTGTTCAAGAATTTAACACTTGCATTACGCATTTTTCATTCACTAAAAAGAACCGGCTCATAAAAGTGATCATGAAAGTCCTTGTGAAATATTGCATACAACCTGCTGGCTGCAGTTAGTATTAGTGCCATAAAACACAGGCAAATATACTTATGACCCACTTTCTCCTTCCCAATTTAATTATAGTAACAAATGACACAGTATATTCACAAAAGACAGCAACAGAAATATAAGCAATCAATCATTTATTAAAGAATGGGCATGTAGTGGTGTGAAGACAGTAGTTTAGAGTTTTATTTTTGAGTTTTTGCATTCATGTTTGTGAAGACATGGATGCCAGTAATATTTTAAAATGCATAATGTGCTCATATTACATGTAATAATAGTAATCTATTACAGCAGAGACAACAATACTGTGTAAGATGTTCCACAACCTTATTATAATCATAAGTACATGATGGTCATGACTATAATCAGTATTTTACTCATGTAAATGACACTATAATGAAATGTTAAAGTGGGACATTAGCTTATTTAAAGGGAGGTTGCAGATTGTGCAGTCAAAAACTGTTTACCTTTTTTAAGTGACAGAAAAAAAGCAGCGCGTGCCAAGCAGTCCATCACTGCGAATGCTAACTGGACATTGTTGCAAAATGCACATTATGCTCATTTGTTCACTTCTAAAATGCAACATGCTGACAAAATAACAAGCGAATCAAAACTTCAGTCTCCACCTGACACATGACCTAAAATTCCTCCACAAATACATATGTATTTATTTTTTTAAAGCTCACACTGAGAGGCAGATTTAGATTCAAAGTTACATGTACAGTGAGAGGTTTGCCATTCACATTTTACATGTCCTCCTGATGGACTGTTGAATTGTGGCTGTGTGCATAGGTGTGTCTGGTTAATAGAGTGCAGCGTAATTAGGACAGGCATTATTATTATTATTATTTTTTTAGAGTTGTAGATTCACAGGTCATCAGTCTCCCCATCAAATGGTATAGTATCCAACTCCATGTGAATGCTGCCTGGTTCAGCGCTACCCCCCCAGCCGATGGGTGTGCGGTTAAAGGAGGGCCGTGAGCCGATATCATGTTGGTACACCACTGCAGGTTCAGGCTCCTCAGTGGCCACCTCGATGTCTGGCAGCTGGAAGGTCATCAGCTGAGAGGCCTTCTCAAAACCTCCAAAAGGCATAGCGCTCCTAGAAAGAGAGAGACCAATTAAAGGCAAAAAGGAAACCATAGGTTTGAAAAAGTACAATTGTTGCATGCACAGGAAAAGAGGAGAGGCAGATTGCCCAGCCTGTATGAAGAAATGCAACTGCACCTGTTGAAGCACTTATAATTGCACAGCTCCTTTTGAGAGCAGGGTCCAGGCATTTGAGTCTTCATTGTTGCTAGAAGTTCTTCATTGCCCTTCATAGCCCGTTCCCAAGGGGAAACGTATGTCTTCACACATGCGGCCCTCTTTTTTGCCTTTTCCAAAGCAGCCTTAGAACTTTCCTCACCTATAGAGAAATATAAACTGATTCAAACTAATTGCATTCCATTAGTAAAAGGGTTCCATTAGTTAAAGGCATGGTTCACCCAAAAATTAAAAATCTGTCTTATCATTTACTCACCCTCATTTCATTCCAATCCTTTATGACTGGTTTTGTCCATACAATGAAAGTCAACAGAGTCCAAAAAATGGACAATCATTGGGGAAAAAAACAAACAAACAAGATTGTAATGACATGAATGTGAGTATTTAAATTAATGGGAAAACTGTCCCTTTAACAAAAGTTTAATTTAGTATTGTTTATACACTATTAGAATTTTCATTGCCTTTTATTTGTGTATTGTATGTTTTCATTTTAGTTTAATTTTTTTGTTATGTGCTTTTGCCATTTTTTTATACATTTTTGTTGTTTTTCAACTTTACTATTTAGATTTCATTTCGTTTTTATTTCAGTTTTAGTTCAGTTTAGTTCATCTTAAATATGTTGAATTAATATTATTATTAGTATTATTTATTTACAGTGGTGGCCAAAATTATTAGAACACTAGTATTTTCCCCAGCTACAAAATGGTTTGAAGTCAGTTATTTCTATCTTTTGCTGTAGTGTGTCAGTAGGAAATATCAGTGTACATTTCCAAACATTCATTTTGCCAGTAATTGTAATAATCCAGTGAGATCTTTGTTTGCACAAGGAGTCTGACAACAGCCTGTGCTCCACACAGAGAGAGATCTGATCTCTTCATGAAGAAACAGAACAAACTGAGACAGACTAAATCCAGAAGAACTGTGGCAATGTCTCCAAGATGCTTCAAGAGACCTACCTGCAAATCTACCTGAAAAAACTGTGCACAAGTGCACCTGGACAAAAGCTGCTTTAAACACAAAGGATGGTCACACCAAATGTTGATTCCATTTAGTTAATAGAAGTTAATTGGTCAAGAAAATCTATTTATGACATTATTTTTGACAGCATCCTCATTTTACAGCATTTTTACACAAGTGCCTAAAACTTTTAACAGCAATGTAGCTTTGCTTGAAGCATCTTGGAAGCGTTGCCACAGTTCTTCTGGATTTAGTTTTCATTAATATTTTGAAATTGCTTTTATTTTATGTTTGTTTATTTTAATTTTAGTTTCATTTTTAGAAATTTTGTAATATGTTTGTCATTTTTTATTAGTTTTTGATGTTTTTAAATATTTCTATATAGGTTTCATTCATTTTTATTTTGGTTTTAATTTTAATTTTACTGCTTCAACTTGAACTTATTTCAGTTGCCAAAGAAACATTTCGAATTTTCTAATAGTTTAAGTTTTTTCTGTTTTTATTACACTGTAAAAAAAAAAATCATAGTTTTGACAGATTTTTTTTCAGGTGTTTTATCTGTATTTTGAATTTTGCACTTCTTTATATTGTGTTTTACGGTTAACAGTAATGTCCATAAAATGAATGCATAATGCTCTCATGTCAGATATGTATGTATGTACCAGGAGCACCTTAAAAAAACCACAACAAATTCCTCATGTGTTTGCACACACCTGGCGAATAAAGCTAATTCTGATTCTGATCTGGGTTCCTACTCACTCTGTGAGGCATCTCCTGACACACCATCCTTTCCCCCTGCTCCTCCTGCCACTCCAGCGAGCCCACCTGCTTGTAGCCCACCCTCTAATCCCTTTCCATAGCTTCCGGGTTTAGGAGGAGGCACTGGTGCTTGACCGCCCCCACCAGCCTGGCCAGTCATATGTCCACCAATCAGGCGGCCACCAACATCCATCATCTGGCCCCCCAGGCTGGGCACGAACTTCTGGAGGTTATCCTTTACACAGAGTAACATAATAATTGGAAGAGTTTTGAAATCAGCATTCAAATCATGTTTGGAATGTTACATTTAAATAAGAAATAAGAACTTGACCAGAATAAAGAATCAGAATAGGATGAATGGAGAACACTGGAAGATTCCACTGAGATTTAGGAATAATGACAATTTAATGCAAATAATCTTACAACAAATTCACAGATGTTGATAGCTCTTAGCCTGCCTTACCATGGACTCACTACTGAAGAGGTCAGGATTGTTCTCATAGATGAACTTCTCCACACGAATCTGCCTCATCTTGAACATCTTGGAGCCTTTGTTCTTCTGAAGGGATAGTTCCTCCAGCATGATATCCTTGGGTGTCCTGATCTTTTTCCCCAGGTCAAACTCTGAGGCCTCAGGCTCTGATTCATACTCTAGAAAACAAAAAAAGAGACATTATTCACTACTATGCTAGTTTAATGTTTATATATCATCAATCAGTTTTCAGCTTGAAGGTATCTGGCAAACTAGTAAATGTAATATATTAACATAAAGTGCAATCAGCATTGCAATACTCTGTTGGTTCACTTGTATTTTAACTGTGCATGGTATTATCAGACTATGCTTGGAAAGAAAAAAATGTCTCAGATTCTCTAGTATCAAGTGTCGTCATTCATATTTATACAGATGTATCTTTTTTTCCTGCATTGTAATCATAACAGTTACTAAATAGCTATTAGTCATCCTACCACCCACTGTTTGTGCTGGAAAAACAGACGCAGTTCCTTGGAAATGTTCGTAATGGTATTAATATAAACAATAAAATCATTTAAACTTTATCAAGTCTATTCCTCCTTTAGATTTAACATCCCTGCACGGAATAAGAAACAGTTTCCTCATATCAAAATAATGTTTTCGAAGGAAAAACATATAAACACGTATCAGGTTTGCAAGAATCTCTCAATTCTTCCACAACAACAATTTTTCACACACATTCAAAAGCATGAAAAAAGAACATATCAATTAGACTTAATTTCCGCTGAAGACACTTATGTAATGTTCTTTCAGTGGAGTAAATTTCCCATGATTATAATGATGAAAGGGAGGGAGAGGTGCTCCGGTAATAATCAGAGACACAGCTGACATTTCAGCTATGAAATCGGCAAGATGCATGTTGTTGCTGACATATTACTCCTCATTAAAACATATTAAATCCAGATGCATGAAACCTTAGTGACAGGCCCTGAAATGAAGATAATGTTCCCAACAAACAGTGACACTGCCAACACAGGCGATTGAGCAGGTTGTATACTGTCTGTGTTGTATACTGTCTTTAATGACATCTTTCAAAGAAGACATCTTCTCACCTGTCAAGAAGGCTAAACAAACACACTCTTTAATTATATAAAAAATACCTGTTATGTAATCCCAGACCACAATATCATAGAAACATACAGTATATTATTATTAAATATTATTGCAATCTAAAAGCATATTATTTTGGAAAATAATATCATTTTTAAATTTTATTATGCTGATTTTGAAACATTTCTTACTATTATCAATGCTGAAAACACTTGTGTTGCTTAAAACATATAAACATTTTGTAGAAACTGTGAAACATTACCATTTCAAAAGTTTGGTTTAAATAAGATTTAAAAAAAGAAAAAATAATATTTTTATTCTGCAAAGATGCATTAAATTGATCAAAAGAGATTTATAATGTTAGAAATGTTTCAAATAAATACTGTTCTTTTGAACTTTTTATTTATCAAAGAATCCTGAAAAAAGTCTGTTTCCACAAAAAATATTAAGCAGCAACACTGATAACAATAATTACCATTATTCATAACTGATGCTAGTTGAGCACCAAATCAGCATATTAGAATGATTTCTAAAGGACCATGTGCACAGTTAATTCAAATTGTACTGTAATTCCCTTTCATTACTTTATAACCATAGCTTCCCTGACAATCAATCAGTTATCTCAGGTGACATTTTTTGACCTGTCTCATATGTTTATGTATGGAATGATTATGCAACAAATCAAGCATAAAGCTGAAGTTGTGGGTGTTTTACCATCTTGGGTTATGTGTGACAGGTCAGTGATGATCTTGGAGGGCTTTTTCCTCTTGTTGGGTGGTGCTGGTGTTCCTGACAGAGGCATGATTCCAGACTGGGAAAACAGAGATCAGAGTAGATTTGATTATATACTAAAATGTATTTATGTCTTGTCATTTTGCAGTAGTTTGGAGTAGTTTCTGTTTGAAAGTAAATGAACAGGTATAATTTTTTGTGGTGTAAGCAAAGTCTGCAGATCATGCTGTTAGTCCCTGAGGAATAATACATTTAGAACAGACACTTGCTGAGTGTGGATATGAATGACCTCACGTTCCTCAGATTCCAAGGACAAGCACATGTATGAAGACACACATATAATTCACCACAGTGTTTGATTTGTTTGGGGTGTTTTTTTTAACAGTTTCCAGATATAATTAGTATAAGCCTAAGCCTTACAGAAAAGCAAACTCTAGAATCACAGAAGAAATGAAAAGAAAAGAAAAACTTACGATTTATGAGGTTGGGTCATTCCTACTAATTTTTTTAATCAAAACCCATTAATTAATACTCTTTTTCTTTTAACTTTTAACTTTTAACTTGGTTTGTCTCACTCAAAAACATTCCATCCAAATTTCACAAATCTATTTACAGATTTTAAACAAACACTGAAAAATATCCAGCTTTAGCTCTTTATTTAATTTTCATGTTCCATTTTTCTTCATGGCATAGTTTTAAAAAACTGAAGTTATAATTAATACGGTTTAGGCAATTTTTTCTTTTGAAGTCTGGACATGGGGGTCCAGTTAAATTGCAGTTTAGGCCTATCTTTTCATTTTTATTTCATTCGCTTTCCTGCACACAGTGCATCTGCTATTTTTTAGGCTCTGTTAATGGCAAACACTGCGTTGACTTGACTGTAACTCAATACAGTATGGCTATTTTTAAAGCAAGACCTTTTAGTGGCAAGTCATGGCATTGGTTTTTATTGTCAGATACTCAGGATTGGTCACAAACATACACGCATAAACACACGTACACTGTTACTTAATGCATTGTAGAAATCGGAAATCTCCCTCAAACTGAAACGACGCCATGGATTGATGTGCGGTGAGACGAGGGGGCGCACTGACCCACCCTGTAAAATAACCACGAGCTGGGGTCCACCAGCTGGACAGTACTGGCTTTGCATTCCACATAAAATCATCAGCCGGGTTGGGTGGGAGTGTTTAGCACATTCCTACTTTCTGGCAGCAAAAAGACGTCGGAGCATTTGAACTTGATTATTCCAATCAATCCAAACTTAAAATGAGAATGTGCCAATCAGTGCTTGCAAACTTTTAGAGTGGGTATCGCACCAGCAACAGGAGTTACAGCTGGTCATGTTTTCATTGCCGTCATGCTGTTAGTTGAACGGTGTGTGCGATTAGTAAAGTGACAGAACAAAATCACATAATTCACTTACCAAGGCTCTAGACTGCTTACAGGAAGTGGCCTCAAAGGTACAGTGATAATAGGAAAAGGTTTGTTGCTAAGAAGTTTACCAATTCCAGGGTAGCCTACCTTTGACCTGTGGCTGGACCAAGAACCCAAGGCGTGCAAAATCCAGTTGGGACTTGGATGGCAGATCTTCATGGGGGGAGGGAGAGTCCGGGTATGAAGGTGGGGTTGGGGGGCAGGGCATTTGGTCTGCACAGCACTTTGCTGATGGGAATATCAAGAGACTAATATCTTTCTTGCAGATGCTTCATTGGCTAAATATAGAGAGAAGGAGAGAGACCGGCTGATTGCACATAGTTATCAAATAACTTCACAGGGCGAAAGGGTTGTGGTAGATTTGCACTTTTCTTCTTTCGTTAATCACCTTCCACTTGTGAGAGGATTTTCACTTTAAATCCAATAGTGGGCCCCGTAACTGTGCTAAATGTATTTTATGATAATGTATTTAAGCACTCCGAGGGGTCGTGTTGGACAGGGCAGCCAATGTTACATTAACATGACATGGTTCTAAATAGCTGTAGTGTGAATGAGAAAATTATTGGCAAATTCACAAATGTGCAATCTGTCAAGTTTGATGCTTGGGTCTAATTTAAAATCAGCAGAGTTACCCTTTGTAATCAAAGAAGGAATTTTGCTCCTCTATTTTTGTACATTATATATATATATATATATATATATAAACAATCATTCAGCACAGTACAGTACAGAAAAATTATGTCATTACTACATAAATTCTCTGCCACTCAAGAAGTATAATTTCAGGTAACATTTTCGCACCTGTCTCAGAGACAATGCTTATTATATTTCTTTTCTCACCCACATCATTTGCACCGTATGAACCTGAGAACTCGTCAGATTCTCTCTATCTTTGTCAATTCAGGAAGGAACCACTCATAAATGGAATCTAAGCAGGGAAAGCGTGGAGCAGCCATAAAAAGTGCCTGAACATTATCAGGCCTAAATATAGGAGGACAGCATATGCATAAGAATGGTGTCAGCTTTAGCTGTAGTCCACCCACCCAGCAATGTGCTTTTAGGAGACACATTTGCTGTTGCTTATACACTTGGGCATTTATAAATGCAATCTATTGTGATTTGAATTTATAATAATTGTAAAGGAAACCGGAGATGTATGTATGTGTGTGTACAGGCTTATACTCCATTCTGGGGACCAAATTTCCCCACAGGGATAGTAAAACCTGACATTTTTCAGTTCCCACGAGGGAAAAAAAGTATTAAAAATACTTGATGTTTATCTAAAAATGTTAACATGCAAAAAAGGTTTCTGTCAGGGGGTTTAGGGGTCGATTTAGGTTTAGTGGACAGAAAATATTGTTAGATCAGTATAAAAAATAATAGAAGTCATAATAGAAGTCTATGGCAAGTCCCCACAAAGATAAAAAAAAAAAAATCTAAAATATGCAGTCACATTTCACTACTTAGCCTTACTTCTATTATGAAAAGTAAGACATAAGCGCCACCATGTGGTGATTAGTCATCTTCACCCCCATAAACCATGTTTTTAGTCTTTCTAAAAGGAACACTTCGACACTGATAATTATTTTTTCAAATGAATTATTCTGAAACATGTTACAGTCAGTCAAATTCACACTCAATTCAATTATTTTGATTAATTCAAAATAACTTTTCTTCATTTGTAAAAAGTAACTCAGACATCATTAGGTTTAAGTGCATTCATGTGAGACATTGGGATCGTGTCTGCGTTTGTCGCTTGCCATGAGACAGAGACATTATGTGAAATTTCAGGTATGTTTTATTGAAACTATTCATTGTATTAGAAATACAAAGACACTTTCAGTTAGAATTACTTATATCCTAAAGTTCAGCTGAGCTCATCATAAGCATTGCACAAACAAAATTACCAGGGACATTAACCACAAAGTTGATTTTACCAAGACAGACACATTGATCTAATGATTTGTACAGCCAAAATTAAGAGCGCTGAACAATGTAAAGATTTAGTTTAGAAGATTTAGTCTATAAAATAAAACATGACTGACACTAACTGGAAAGACAAACAAAATTGTGGCTCAGATTTTAAACACTGTATCTACTCTATATCAACTTCTTATTCAATTTCTAAATGTAATTTTTTTTTTTAAAAAGGAGACCTTTTAAAAATGAAATATTCTCACCTGCCAGTACTACAATCATTATTTATTCATTCTCTCTGTATATCTAGTTCACATTGATATAAACTGTTTTCCTTCCTTCCTCTATCCATTGTTCCCTTAATATTACAAGCCCTAGATTTTTTTTCTCTTAAGACATTGCCATGTTTTAAGGACTTTGGGAACACATTCGAAAACCACCCATCCCCGAAATCATCAGCCTCACTGCCGCACATGCCATTCAAATATTTCATGTTGCCATGAGTATTCTGACTAATTCCAGTAAAGCCAGTTGGCTAATTAACCTTCTGATAATCCTGGACAGTGCTAGCTTTGCACTTTTCACACTGTCTTCATGAGACAGATTTGTGTCAGTGCTCAGATAGACTTTCTCTAGGACTGTCTCCAACACTGTACCTTTCCAATACTTACTGATTTGACCACTTAAATATGTTTCTATAAAAAATAAAAACTCAAGTTTTCATTAATGTCATCTTTTTAATATATCAATAGTCGGATATAAAGACCAAAAATCCAGTCAGAGCACATTTTAAGGAACCAGCCTGGTTCCCTGTTTACTTTGCTCCTACAAATAGGCTGTGACCCTTATGCACCTGTTCGGTGCAGGCTCTGCCAAGAGATATATCATTTCTGATTGACCTAAGAGCATACAGCAAAACAAAGCCTCAGCTTGCCTTTTTTTCTTAGGTATTTTTTTCCATGCTTTCATATGTCAAGTAGATCAAGGTTTACACCCAAGATCCACAAAGCAACTACACTTTAGTATTTTAAAGGTGCCAAAAAAACTCACATATGTGTGTCGTAATGGAGAAATTTGAAGGAAAATATTTCAAAATACCTCAGTCCAGTCCATGTGAAATGTTTTTTCTGGTGACATGTCAATGTATTTTTGCTTATCCCTATAAAATCGGGAACACGTGAATTGACATGTGAACGTGAATTGGCATTTGCAACTCTTTTTAACTGCCGTAATGTGACTCATTGTGTGTTTGTGCACACTTGGCGAATGAAAGCTCGCTCTGATTCTGATGTATGGATGAAACAAGACATGTAATAAAGGAAAAAAAAAACAATGTATGATACATCTTGATGTTATCCATTAGGAACTGACTGGATTAAAAAAAACTGGGCATTCTGCACCACTAGAGAGCCAGACCAAATGTAAGTTTGCTAAAACAATGCCCAAGTAGCTATTTGGCTATTGGTTAACATCATCGAAGTGAAAAAGGCAGAGCCATTTCAGAGGAAGTGCAAGCTACACTTTGATTGATGTTTACAAAGCCAAACAATGTTTCTCTTTGGAATAGCATATATACATTTTTCACAAGAACAGGAACATGCATTAAGTAAATAGATTTCATGTTAACAACACTGAAGGTTTTAAACATATTGTTGAACATTTAGCAGAAATTCAGGATTTTTCATCTAAGTTTTGAAAAACACTCAAAACAAAACAACAAATATACTCCACAGTATATTTTCATCTGAAATGGAGAATATAATTTCTAACATCTTCAAGTTATATTAAATCATATTTGAAAAGTATGAATTTTGAGACTGCAACAGAAGCAGATGGTTTAGCTTCTTCCACATGTAAAGTAACATCATCAGTGAGGAAGGGTTCCAGGCCTCCAGACGCGTGGCTGAATACCCACACGTGTTGCAATAAAACGGGGTTTGGGAACTTGGATAGGAGACTTTAAGGGGTCTGGTGGTAGGGAACTTAACTCAGGGGCACTCTTAAACTGTTTGGCAGCTTGAAGCCCAGAGTAGCTTAGGCTTGACATACTTGACATGGGAGCTGGGGGTGAGTATGGCATGGGGTGAGGTATGGGCACAGCTGAAATTTTAGGGAGCTCTGGGAGGCCTGGGGCTCGTGAAGGTGCCGGAGTTGGTTCGGGTACAGGTTCAGGTAGAGGGGACGTCATGTCAGAACGAGAGATGTGCTCACCAAGTGTGGTCCGTGAGCGTGGTACAATCACTGTGGGGTTGAGAGTTGCTGCTGACATTGGGGTGGGAGTGGAGAATCGTTTGATTTCATACACACGTGCCGCCTTTACTGGGATCTGCTTGGGTGGTGTCAGAGTGTGACCTTCCCTTTGTTGCCTCTGGTAGGAGGACACTGAAGACGGTGTGCTAGTGCCACCACCAAAACTGAACATTGCAGGGTTCAGTTGGTAAGGCTGCCTCCTCATAAAGTCCAAGGCTTTGATACCTTCTTTTGGGACACCATAACTACCCTTACTTCCTTTAGAACTTCCCTCAGACACTTTGGCACCCCCACGCTGCACCCCAACAGGACAGGATGGAGACAGCAAGGGGTTGTAACCTATCGGGGGAGGAGCACGAACGTTAGGGGAATACTTCCAGTGGGATGGGGTTGGTGAGGTTTTTTGTGGTTCGATCAAGTCTATGACAGAATGGGATTGTTGGGGTTGTAGCGGTGCAGGCTGCAGATGTGGAGAGTCTACAACAAACAAATCCTTGCGATACTGCCTACGAGCAAACAGCTCTGCACCTTTTCCCTCCGCCTGAGGGATCTGTGACATTTCTTGGATGACCCTTGGCTTAGGAGCCACAGGCGGTGGCACCCTTGCCGTATTGTCATCAATGTTGTGAGTAATATTTTCCAGTTCATAATATCCACGTCTGGGTCTTTCATCTAGGTTCTGCACCATAGACAATAATTCAGGGTTTGGTGAGTTTTTCTTGCTGTCAGGTATCTTAAACATTGGCTTGTAGGCACTACGTCGGCGGGCCTCTTGGAGAATACCAGTGCGGCCAGTGGTGGCAGAGGATTTTTCACGATAGACTACAGGTGACATCGGAGTTCCAGTTAAAGATGTCTCAGAAGCTGCAGAGGTCAAAATAGAAGAGGTTTGGGATGGTATTGCAATGGCCTGAGGTGTAACAGGAGCCATAACGGGAGCCACAGCGGTCCCTGTGTTGTCAACAGGGATTGCTGGAGGAACAGTTGTTTCGGCTTCTACAGGACAGGTAGGACCTTGGGTTTGAACTATGGGAGGTGGCACTGATGCAACCTGGAAGTTTTCCACTGAGGAGCAGTGAAGACTAGGTTGAGAATATGATTCCACAGATACAAGTGGAGGAATAGACTTTCCAGGCATAAAGGGCTGTGTGGGTATCATTTCAGGAGGGACATCGGCACTCATTCGACTCATTGTGACTTGGCTAACAAAGGAGGCCGGGATAACACTCATGGCATGCTCTTCTGATGGTGCAGAGAATGGATGTGCAACCACAGCCACTGAAACAGGTCTGGGTGTCTTCTTACTGACTGTAGGGCGAAACACAACAGGAGCAGTGGCTGCCCGATTGGTAACACAGCCTGGGGCAAAAGGTCGGGCAGTTCTGTTTAACACAGAACTGGAAGGAAGTTCTGGTAGAGGAACTGGTTGTGGAGGCATCACAGGTTCTGCAGAAGGTACTGAGAGACTAGTTATGGGCAACGCAGCGGGGGCTGGTGCCATTGTGTTTGAAGTATCTCCATTAACCATAACATGGACAGTGGAAGTGGCTTGATGTGTGGCCATCTGTGTCATGTTTTGCATCTCTGCTGGTGGAACCTCATGATGTAGAGTTTTTGAAGGTCTGGCAGGTTTCGGAGCAACTGGTGGTGGCTGGACATTAGGCTTTGTCAATGGGTCTGGTTGTGGTTGCAGTGTCTGTAGTTGAGGAGGTGCTGGTGTCTCTTTCAGTGCAATTCCCAGCATTTGGCTTTGTAACTGTTCTTGCGCAGCTTCCATTTTCTTTGCATGTTCCTCAGCCCTTCTCCGTTGCTGCTCAAACAACTGTGCCCCCTTCCCAGATGTATCACTCAGACCAGGACTGAGAGCACCACCTTCTCCTTCCTGACCTCTGGAAGCAGATCTTTTCTCCAGCATCTCAAGGTAGTCACTGTCCCATGTGGGGTCGGGTGCAGCAGAGAAACCTTCCTCATCAAATTCTGATTCACTGCCAGGAAATATGCCATCCTCTTCTTGAGAGTCCTGCCTCATGTCCTCATCAACACTTCCAAAGCTGGTCAGTGTGTATTTCTTGGAGCGTTGTCGGCGCTTTTTAAACATCAAAACACCCTTTGAATGAGGGTTAGGTGCATCTGTCAGTAGTGAGGCGATGGTGCGGCACTTGGACCGAGCTTCTTTCACCTGTTTGTCCGTGATCGTATCTCCACGGTTCAATTCTGCATAACATGAAATTAAAAGTTTGAGACAGAATTGAAAAATTGAATTGAATTGAAAATTGAATTGAGAATTGATGTTTATGGCTTTAAACTATTCACTTTATATCGGTAAGAAATTGTGTTAAATATAGCTAACAGTGCTCTTCTGAATCATTGGGCCTGTAAAATTGTGCTAAAAGAGTGCAGAAAAATGCAACATTTATATGTCCATGCACATGCTACACTCAACTCCTCCATTAACAAAGGATAGTTAAATATCTCATAAAAGGCTAGATAAGATTCAGTTTTTCATATGGTACTGCAAAGTTGCATGTCAAAGAAAGTTTTCATAGCATAACCCAATAAAAACTGTATTTAATCAAAGCATTTTGCAACAGGGACCACTCATTATATTAATCGGAGATGCTTTATTTACCAGTGCTTTAACTGTGGTCCCTGAGAAGAGCATGAGAATGTTTAGAGTACAGATTAGGGTTGTCTTTATTATTATTATTTAATTAATTACATTTATATAGCGCTTTTCTAGGCACTCAAAGCACTTTACATTGTCAGGGGGTATCTCCTCATCCACCACCAGTGTGCAGCATCCACCTGGATGATGCGACGGCAGCCATAGTGCGCCAGAATGCCCACCACACACCAGCTTACTGGTGGAGAGGAGACAGAGTGATGAAGCCAATCAGTAGATATGGGGACTGTTAGGAGGCCATGATGATCAGAGGACAATGGGCAAATTTGGCCAGGATGCCGAGGTCACACCTCTACTCTTTTCGAAAGACATCCTGGGATTTTTAATGACCACAGAGAGTCAGGACCTCGGTTTAATGTCTCATCCGAAGGACGGGATTTAGATTTATGACTGTTTATTTATGCTGGTGCTTGAAATTACACTGCTTCAAATAGCAGTGGCTCTGAAGATGCTTGTACACTTTATAAAAAGTGGTACTATGGCACATAACCCCAAGTCTCGCCTCTAATCTATTTTTTAAACCTAATCATTATCAGAACAGGAAAAAAAACAACTTTACTCTAAAATGTAATATCACTGGAATTAATTTAACGAATTAACGTAAATCGTGAGGTGTAACCATCTGTTGAATCTAATGTTTTCACTAAATGGTTATCATAATACATATTTTGTTCATGCATATTTAATATTAATATTCCATTAATAGCATATTAGATTCCACAGTAAGTAATCTCACCATAAACACAGATGTCAATGTGTTGTTTTTCACCTGATCTGGGATCAACAAACACACATTCCGTAGCTGTGATCCAGGATCAGTGTCATACCAGTGTAATGCAGTGTCTGGGCACCGGAATGTTGAACCTGTGTAACTAATTGTACGTATCTCATTTTATGAACACTAACCTGGCTTCTGAAATATGCTAATTTGTGACTTGCACTGATGACTTGTAAATGACTTTCAATTCCAGCCAGATGCTTCTATACATGTCTGAAAACTATACGGAGAATACTAACAATACTGTCCAGTATTTCAGCTAGGGATCTAGGTGGAGAGAATGAGCGCAGGCCCGTGAGGAGCACTGTCACCTGATATAAGCTAGCAGCTGGAGATGCTTATGCCAGCTCATGCAAAGCAGTGCTCAGGTTATCAACCCTGCGAGCCTCAGGACAAATATAGACACTGGTTCTGGCTAAAAGACTCATGACCAACCCTCATCTCTTCAAGGGTTTACATGCAGGCAATCACAAGCTGTGACTTTAAGAACACATTTACAAAGCTAAGCAGGTGTTCATGAAAGTATATTTGAAGCCAGTCGGTCATAAGAGCAATGATCTTCATATACTCACTTGCTTGTTTTGCTTTATCCATGTATGTTAATGTGAGTTCCTCATCCACTGGATTGTCAACTGGCCCAACCATGGGCACCAACTGAGTACGAGAGCTCAGCATAAGAGCTTCTTTGGCTCTCTCTGGAGAAACCAGAGGGGGAACATGTGTGGGCTCCTGGAACCAACTGTCCTCTTCCATTAGCCCTTCTCGTGGGTTTTGGTCATCCGCGCTCATGGATGTATCGGTGGAGGTCTGAGAGGACCAGGCTCCATGCGGAGGGGGTTGGTAAATAACTTCTCTGCGGGCTACACCAGGCAATGCATCTTCTCTTTCTTTAGGCCCCAAAAGATTGTAAACTTGGGCATCCGAGGCACTGTCATACCCACTCATTTCTGAAGTCTCTGCTCCCTCCGGTGAGGCTCGACCTGCCTTACCAGGTGAATTGCTGGGACTACGTCGTTTTGGTTTGCGTTGCCTCTCATGAGCAGCCACGTCTGCATCGCTGTCTGTTTCTCCGTAGTAGGCCTCACTGCCCGGTGGGGAGGTCAATCCACTGTGTCCGGTCGGGGACATCAGGGATCCACGGTGGATCTGCCGCACACTGGACTGGTGAGGTTGGGAGCTGGATGGAGACATGGCCCTAATGGCAGCACGGTACTCTTTATCAATGCGGGGAGAAGGAGCTCGAGCAACCAGAACCACCGACTGGAAGCCAGCCGGTGCCCTGATAAACATGTAAGAAGGTAAAATAGCACAGGGGTGGTCAGAAACAGTAACTCACAACAAACCTGGCTTGGAGTTAATACAGTCACTTACTTTCAGCTCCCATTTGAGTTAAACACATTTTGGCATTGAAAAAGGAAAGGATGGCTTACCTCCTAACCCGGATGTGTAGCGTTCCTGGTATGCTGTCGATCAGGTTCATGGCCTGGGCATGCGACAGACTCCCACAGGAATTCTCATTGATGGACACCAGCTCATCTCCCTCACGCAGTCCGGCACGACATGCTTTACTTCGCTTGCGCACCTACAGGATAATTGTAGCAGTTGATAATGGATAAATAGATCAAGAAGACATTTAACTTGGCCTTGAAAGTTTTCCATAGATTAGGCAAAGACTAAGGCATTGATATCGCATTTCAAATTCTTCCCATCTTTAAAAGCAGATCTGCAAGAATGAGTGATATATGAGTTTGGTCAATCACATTAAGTCTATATCCATCCATTCTCTAAACCTGGTATTTTGTAGGTGTCTCCAATTCACCTATCCTGAATGTCTTTAGATTGTAAGGTAAACCATAGCACATGCAAACTCCATACCGAAAGGCCTCTTGGAACAGCTGGGACTTGAACCAGGGACAATCATATATCAAATGGGATAAGCCAGTGAAAATTGTGCAACATTGTACACAATACTTTAAATGCTGTTTTTTTTTTATTACAGATAATTTTACCTTAATATTTTTAAAAAAGGTGAAGAAAAAAACACTCAGTAGGCTGGCATAGACAGTTACCAGATGCTGCCCATGTGCCAGTGTTAGTGTTGTTTATCAACTGGACCTTGCAATGGCATTGCTCAAACCCCTGTCCTGTCTGTCATCTTACTCAGCACAGGAGGACAGGCTCTGATTTCAGTTGTTTTGTTCACACTGAACGGTTCACATCTTACTGAGGATGCAATAATCAGTCTATAAATACTTACATTTAGACTATAAATAGACAGTGAGATGGGTTCATGAAATTTTCTCTGCTCTTTAATACTGTGCGAAAGCTACTGAGTCACTATACTATTAAAATGACATTTTAAAGTCTGTGCGCTCCTTTGACCTTTGATTGTACAGAACAGACTAAAACAATATGGCATATGGGTCATTGATCTGCTTTTCCATTTCAGACTCTAATCCTGTACTTGGTTGCCTTTGGTTTTTAGGATACCAATATAATGCAAAGGTTATATTCAGGACCAAGTGGTGAACTGGGATCTGTACGCTGCCCTGTCACTAAACCGCATCTTGATATGGGGCAGTGTCCATTCCACTAGTTTAATCTAATTCATTTTTGATGACAAGCATCTAGCTACCAATAAAAAGCAATACTCTTCATGACAGCCAAGATTAGTGGATGCAACAAACTAACCTGATCAGATAACATTATTATATAGATATATAGGTAGATGTATGTGTGTGTATATATATATATATATATATATATATATATAATAGTCCGTCGTTACTAATGGCTTGAATTATCATCTTTGGTGTTGGATTAAAGTAAAATACATAACCAGGGCCATTTTTATTTCCTAAACTATTGCAAGCATGACATGACAACAACACGATCATCAACCAGAATAAGCTGCTTTATCATTAAATACTGTGTATGACATTGTATCCTGTATAAAGAAAAAAAGTCTGCTGGAATTGAAAGTAGATTATTTGAGACATAAGCATGGTGTGACATGGGACCAAATTACACTCAATTAGGGCAAATGCTATTAAATATGACCTGAATGCTCAAAGGCTAAGGTAAGTCATAAACTACAGTAATACAGTGTGTGTGTGTGTGTGTGTGAGCATAAACCTTTATTTATATATTATTATAATAATCACAATCTGCTATTTAGATCACAATTTGCTACTTAGTAAGTAATAAATAATAACAAAACAAAGTAATTATAAAATAATAGCAGAAACCAGTATCACATAATTATATGTACCATAAAAACACCCTGTTTCCTTGTACTGCTAGCTAGATAGAAAAATGTTTGATTAGCTTCTCATGATCTACTACAGTCATAAACTGCCCTTTGTTTTACATATAAAGTTTTATTCTACAATCTTAGCCTGTTACTGGTAATCTACTCTTACTTTGTCACTATTACAAAATGTACAATTTGTGCACATTAGCTATTTAGGACTCAAAGGTTAAGAGGGTTAAGGGGGATACTTGAAAGCTCATAGCTCTATGAATCATTTGGCTTTTTTGGTAGAGGATCAGTTCCACACCACACTTAAGAGTGCAGGGGCCTGTGCTTCTGGTGTCCATTACATCTTCAGGCAGCTCAACATCTTAAGTTTCTTTAGAACTAAAGAATTGTGGGCTGAAATAACTCTAAAAGACTTAAAGTGAGGTACAGTACATTCATTGATGTGTTTCCTGGCAATCATACCTTGGCAACCTGCAGAGGCTTCTGGTGCTCGATTCCTCCCTGTAGTCTGAAGCCCCATGGTGCACCTCCAGATAGGGTGATGATAACCTCCTCAGCCACCATAGTGCGGTTTGTGCTTGCGTCTTTGATTCAGTTTGTTGGCCTGGGGGCCCTTAGTACATACGGTCCATGCTATTTCAGGGCCCCCTTAGAGAAAACAACTACTACTGCAACTGTGTCCTAGGGTTCCTTCTAGTTGCTCTTGCAAGAATACGAGCGCACATGGATCCCCTCCCACACCCTGAGCTGGATGCTGGTGATAGGGGGACAGCCATAAAGGAAGTTAAAATAGAGGGGAAAGAGAAAAGATACCCACCGTCTCCCTGTGCAGTGCAATCTTGTGTTGGATGAAGCTAGTTCATCACAGCTGTGCTGTCACTCATTGCTGGCTTAAAGGGAGGAGGCGTACATTGCTGATATAAAAATAGCCCTTTGCCTCTCTTGCTAAGCGGTCAAGCTTTTTAACAACTTCAGAATAGCGACAAGTAGATTTACGTCTGAAATTGAAAGAAATTAGTTATTATTAATGATGTTTACAATCTCTCATTGAAAAATAGCGTATGATTTTTTATTTAACCTTCAGTAAATGGTGGTCAGGGAACTTTATTACGGTCAACTGAGGTTTTCCTAAATGGTTAGTCTTTTCTAGGTTTTATATTATAACATCAGGACCTTCTAATAGTGTGGGATGAATCACAGAGCTAGTTTGTTTTACCACTGCATCTGTACACATACTGACAGCAGACTTGTCCTCTTGGCGTCCAAACTGGGACACTTGGCCAATCAATCTTTCTTTAGACAAGCACGCACATGCCTGACCCGAGTAGGAAATTAAAAGAGACTTAGTGACACTTTATATCCACATACAGGATTTAGACATTGATCACCAGGTCTAAAGGAAATTAAGAACAAATATTTATATTACAAATAAATTTCTGTAATTTCCATTCATCAAAGAATCCTGAAAACAAAATGTATCTCACTTCTACAAAAATATTGGGCTGCACAATTGTTTGCAACATTCGTAATAATAATATATTTTTCTTGAGCACTAAATCAGCATATTAGAATGATTTGTGAAAGATCATGTGACACTGAAGACTGGAGTAATGACTGCTGAACGTCCAGCTTTGGCATCACAGGAATAAATTACATTTTTAAATGTTTTAAACTGCAATAATACTAGTTGAGTGATCTGAGTTTGTTGTATGGGTCATTCATTTTATTATAAAAAGAAAACAAGTAGATAGAATAGAAAAAGAATAGAGAACACTAGCTATTTGTAATAAAATAGAATAGAGAGTGGAAATAGAATACAGAGTGGTAGTGCTAGAGCCTCAAGATTAAAAACAAAAAAATAAATAAGTAGATAGAATATAAATAGAATAGAGAGTGGTTGTAACGGGGCTGACAAGACGTGAGACGTGCGGATCCATAAGCAAGCTTTATTTAAAGCAGAGGAGGTCAGAAACACAGGCAGGGTCGAACAGTGGCAAACAGGTATATGGCGGGCAAGACACAAGAATAGTCCTAGGGCTAGCGTAGGTCAACTGACTTGACTCGACTCATGAAGATCAACGGTGACTTGACTTGACTCGTGAAGATCAGCGGTGACTTGACTTGACTCGTGAAGATCAACTGTGACTTGACGGGGCGCTGTTGTGTCCGCCATTTTGTGATCAGGCTCGTCTGTCGCCGCCATTTTGTGAATGTAATCTAGTGCGGGGGCCATTACAGGAGTGTACCTCTGATGGCTAGCAGACGGAAGTTCATGGACCGGATTCGTGACAGTGGTAGTGTTAGAGGGTCATGTTTTTTAATATATAAAAGTAGATAGAATAGAAATAGAATAGAGTGCAAGTGTTAGAGGGTCAGTTTTCTAGTAAATAAAAAGAAAACAAGTAGATAGAATAGAAGTAGAGAGTGCTAGTGTTAGAGGGTCATGTTTTTAATAAATAAAAAGTAGATATAATAGAAATAGAATAGAGCGCAAGTGTTAGTGTGTCAGTTTTTTTTAGTAAATACAAAGAAAACAAGTAGATAGAAGTAGAATTGAGAGTGCTAGTGTTAGAGGATCAAGTACAGATGGAAGAAGATGGCTAAAGTCTCAGCTGCTCAGATCAAGTTACGCCAGCAGGGAACTGTTAAAAGTAAAAGTCTGTGAAAGTGATTTTGTGCACTATAATGTGCTGTTCACTTGAAGAATTCTAGCTTTTGGCTAACATAAGTATGAAGTAGGGAATTCAGGTAAAGGGGTGCAGAGACGGTGGTTGTTTTGTAGGCAAATATCAATTCCTTGAATTTTATACGAGCGGCTATTGGTAGCCAGTACAAACTGATGAACAGAGGCGTGACATGCAATCTTTTCAGGCTTGTTAAAGACTCTTGCTGCCACATTCTTGATTAGTTGCAGAGGTTTGATAGAACTGGCTGGAAGACCTGCCAAGAGAGCATTGCAGTTCAGAACAAGAGCTTGAACCAGGAGTTGTGTAGCATGTTCTGATAGAAAGGGCCTGATCTTTGTTGTATAAGGCAAATCTGCTGGACCGGGCAGTTGTAACAACGTGTTCTGTGAAATTCATCTGATCATCAATCACAACTCCAAGGTCCCTGGCTATTCTGGAAGGTGTTATGGTTGATAGCTGGATGGACAAATTGTTATGAAGTGATGGGTTAGCTGAAACCACAAGCAGTTCTGTCTTGGCAAGGTTGAGTTGAAGGTGATGGTACTTCATCCAGCAAGAAAGGTCTGTTAGACATGCTGAAATGCAAGAAGCTGAGATCAGATGATCAGGATGAAATAGAGAGAGTTGAGTGTCATCAGCATAGCAGTGATATGAAAAGTCATGTTTCTAAATGACAGAATCTAGTGATGACATGTAGATGGAGAAAATAAGTGGTCCAAGAACTGAGCCCTGAGGCACCCCAGTAAGTAGATGTTGTGACTTCGACACCTCACCCCTCCAAGATACCGTGAAGGACCTATCTGAGAGGTAAGACTCAAACCACTGAAGTGCCATTCCTGAGATGCCTTTTGCCATTAAGGTTGACAGGAGGATCTGGTGGTTAACCATGTCAAAACCTGCGGACAGATCTAGCAAGATATATACTGAAGATTTGGAATCCGCTCTTGCCAGTCTTAGGCCTTCAACAACAGAGAGCAGGGATGAAACCAATGAGCTCTAAAATGTTTAACGCAGGTACAGTAGCATATGTGGCCACTTCTAGTTGTGCAAGCTCAATTTCGTGCGTCGTTTTCCAAATTATCAGAATTCATAAGTCAAGTATGCAACTGTGGAGTTCCACTATAGGGGAGCTCAAACTTTTTCAGTCATTTTGCTGTAAGCGATATTAGGTGTTCCAGAAGTTTTATTATACTTAGCAAACAAGTTAGACATGCCATTACAGACATTTCTACAGGCCAACAGTTTCAGTGCAACCACAGTTTTTTGAAGTGTCATCATTCAGGGTGTAGGACTATTTTCTAAATGGTGAATAACAACACATCCGGTTTAAAGGTGCAGATGTCGACAGTCCAAATCTAGAATGCAAGCATGGTCCGCGAATTTGCATTCGTGTCTACTTCAAATGCACACTGAGCAGGAGAACAAAGACAGTGATGTTGACATGTTTTATTAAATACTTCCAAATGTTTCAATAATAACAAAGCTATGATGGTTTAACAACATTCAAACAAACACTTGAAAGATTTAAATTCATAGTTTTATTAATTGTATGGTCATGCAAAAATCCAGCATCCAATTAAACCTCAGAGTATAAGCATGTGTAGTCCCATCATATATGGTTACAATGCAAAAAACTGACAAGAATGGGGAAACATACCAAGCTAAAGCTTTGTTAATTTCTTTTAGTCCATTTCTTTACAAAATTAGCATTTGATTTTAGCATTGGAAACCATATCTCAGAGCCACATTTCATTTACCTTGAAGATGCAGGTAATATACACAATTCAATTTTAGGTAACACAGACAGTGAAAATTATTACTAGAAAGTTACACATGCATATTTTCCTTCTGCTGAACTGCATATATGGTTTGGTTGTGGGAGCCATTTAGTTCAGGCATTTGTGTCCATCTAACAGTCATAAGAAATACAAGAACTACAATCTCCTGCATCTGGAAACATTTCTTAACCATTTACATTTTTTTATGGATGTTTGACTGACTAAACTGCATTTTTTAAAACAAGGACACTCATATCTGAGAGGATACACTATGAGTGATAGAAGTGGCCAGAGACTAGGGCTGATCACACTGTTATAAGACACACTGCAGCAGGGGGCAACAGAGAGCGAGTATGAAGTTATGGCAGACATCACAGTGCCAGACGGTTTCATCTGTGGACAAGTGAACTCGCTAACAAGATGCATTTAGGGTAGGAGTACTCTCTTTCCTCCCTTTTTTGAACATATAGGGTTGGGTGCAACATTTGGCCCAACTTCAAAGGTAAAATGTCACAAGAAATGGCTTAGCACAGAGTAAAAGGGGAACGTTAAACCCCCAGACTTCACAATTCACACACAGGATCTACATAATAACACAGTCAAGAACAGTGTTCCAATGTATGACAGTCACACAGATAAGCTTTAAAGGGAGCACAATGTGTCCATATGCTTTAACACACCCAAACCAAGATTTTTTTTAACTATGTGAGTTGTTTTACCAAACACAGAGTTGTGTGTACTGAAAGTCTGTGTGTGTACGTGCATCTGGATGAAGACGAATGGCTGAGCGTTCGATTCATCCCTCATCAATGATCTGCATTAGTATTTACAGGTTATACTGGAAAAATTAAAATAAAACAAGATCAAGATACTCAGAAAAGATTCTACCACAAAATGGACCCCAAAACACCATTCATCAAGTCATTCAAATCCCTGCCTATAGATGGTCAGGTGATCTTAACAAACCACAATCAAGTCTTTTAAAGTCACAATGTATGATGAGACAACGCAAACAGCATCAGAACAAGTGTACAGACACTCAAGGAGGGATAATGTGACAGTTTGGGTCTTCTTCTAGAGCATGGACCCCTATGGATGGATTTCATAACCTGAAGTTGCAAAGCAGTCCACAAAAAGTGAACAGAACAGCAGAGAGTCTCAAGCTTATGTGCAAAAGAGTACAGGCCATTTCCTTTTTTGACATGCGTATAGTCTAAAAAATGATATGCACAGCAGCTGGAAGCCTAAAAGGATGAGCTTATTAACTCTGTGAGGGAGGGCAGGGGCTATGAGCGTGTTGTGTGTAGTGTTTAGCGCCCCCTGGGGACCAGGAGACATATAACAAACTCGAATCTATGTGAGAGTTCTGCA